ATTCTTGGCAGGCAAAACTATAGGGAATCTATAGTTCAGTGTATCTTCTCTATTAGAAACCCTAGACTTCAAACGAATTATTCCCGATTTGTCGATCAATGGATTCAAACTGCAAATTCTCTTATCATTGACCCCAGAAAAACTTTCTCTTTGTATGATTTTTAAAATAAATTGATCAGCATTGGAAAACCCCGGAACCAGTTTCTTTGGAAATAGAACCGTTGTAGCGCAAATAGCGGGTAGCCTTTTGTGAGCGCGACAAGTATGATTATTTTTAGTATGTTGTATGTTGTCTGGTTCGTCCTCCATAATCGTATTATTTTGTGTCCGAGTCTAAGTGCTGTCCCTTCTACTTTGTGTTTCGTTTTGTATATATGTCTGTTGAAGTTTAGTTGTCCGTCGATTGTAATTCCGAGGTATTTGATGGTGTAGTGTTGGTCTATTCTGTCGTTGTCCGTTGTCAGCGTTGGTGGCCGGATCCACCTGGTGCCGATAAACATGGCTTCTGTTTTATATTTTGTCCGATTCTGTCTGGCCCATCTTTTGCACGCGTCTCATATGTATGTCCATTTTTTTCGATCGCCTTTGCGGACTCACCCGTAATAATTATCACTTGGTCATCCGCAAAGGCTTGTACGTATGTTAAATCGTCCACGTGTTATATGTCTACGCCCTCATCGTCGATTGGTCCTCCTTTCACCTCTGTGTCGTTTCGTCCATGACTTGTAACCACCCTTCCATCACCAGCAGCCACAGTGTTGGGTCGTACCAGTCGATCATTCCCGCTCCCTAGGGAGCGATTCCCTCTCTCAACTTTTTTTGAAGAATACCGTTTTGCCGATTGTCATTAAACCTCGCTCACTTCTCTCGGCTGTCTACTCCCTAGTCGTCAATAATGGGTACACAGATATGCCAAGCAAATGCGTGCACCACCACACCACTGTGACGACCAAAATGCGCTGTAGTAGTGAAAAAAGTTTTGATTTTTAGTCATCTTCCGTCAATGATTGTAAATTATATTTGATTTCTTGCAAATTATGCTTTACTACGAAACGTCACCTACAGCTGGTCTTATCGCTACCAATTTGCGAAAGTTTTGTTAATGCACATCTATGTGAGGTATTAATAGTGACACTTAACAAAAATCTGCTGCAGGTCAGCTTATTTTGTTTTGAGAATTTGATATATTTTGTTAAGGAAGTACAAGTTCTGCTGGTAACGCTAAAGTGGTGTGAGGCATGGGTGTTCTAAAGAGGGTACAGAATACAACTATGTATTCCAGATTTAAAAAATAATTCAGCGATTAGGCATGTAAGGAATGAAGTAAATATGCCATTTATTTGCAGGTCAAAAATACTTCCAGAACCATATATTAGGCAACAATGTTAACACAACTAACCAGACAGTAAATGCTGTAGATTTCAAGAAGATTTTCACTGGTGGCACACATCAGAACATTACCGGAAATTTCAGTTTTGATCACTTGGAAGTGGCTGATGATTTCGACGTAAGTCACACTATTAAATAGTTGCTTATATCTAAGTCATCATTAAATTATTTTTGAACAAACTTCTCATTACATACTGTATCATTGAAAGGTTTGTACCAGAGTTATTTTAAACTATTTTCAAAGATGTTAATGAATATCGCAACGAGTGGATTGTATTTTCGAAGCGGAACGTTTCGGCGTTCGCATCGCGGGGGCTCATTCCAGAGAGAATGCCATGAGACATGTCTACAAATTAACTCTCACTTTTGACATATAACATAAACTTTGGTTTAAAGTGTTGGGGATTTGCTTGATTCCAAACATGTTCATTGTATCGATTAAACATGCCACTATTAGTAAATCTGTTGGGTGTCTTGTTGGCATTTGTTTCGGAATCATGTACAAAAAATGATTTATCACTTTATCTTGATTTCTTGGCTATGTAAAACTTCYATAAGTACTCAAATTGTCGTATAGCGTTTTGAATGTGTTCATGGAGGGCTGACGATGGTCAAAATAGTAAGCAGAATCTCGTCTAGCTCACATCTAATGTAGGTTTCCAATCACGTCGCGCTTTCTTCATTGAAATAATCTATTGTAACGGAAATGGCCTGGGGTACTCACATTTGTAATGGGGGGATCRAAATTCATGGTATTTCAGTAAATGGRAGCCCCCTTTGCGCCCCATTTACTGTAAAATATGACACTGACAAGCGGGAAATTTCGCACCTGGTCTGGAGATTTCGAGAACCGTCTGGGCTACCTGGAGAAAACTATATAAGCGGCGACGAGAACCAT